AATAATAATAATAATACAAAGAAGAAGAAGGGGCAGGAGAAAGAGGAGGAGGGAAAGGTGGAGGAAGGAGGGGGTGTAAAATGTGTTATTAAATTATTTAAAAAAAAAGATTAAGACATTGTTGAAATATCTGAAGGAGGAGGAGAAGGAGGAGGAGGAGCAGGAGAAGAAGAAGAAGAAGAAGAAGAAGAAGAAGAAGAAGAAGAAGAAGAAGAAGAAGAAGAAGAAGAAGAAGAAGAAGAAGAAGAAGAAGAAGAAGAAGAAGAAGAAGAGGAAGAAGAAGAAGAAGAAAAAGAAAAAGAAGAGGAGCATGGAGAGAAAAGGGAGATCTCAAGTGAAGACACAATTACTTGTTATAAAATCACCAGAAGAACAAAAATGGAGAGGGAACATAGAATAGTTAAAAGGACAGCAATACATATAAGTAATCAACATGCAGATGGCCTGTGGGCAGTCTTTGTGATTGCACAATAAACAAACAGGTCAGTCTGGTCGAACGGTTAGTTAGCCTACTTCGTATTTAAGAGACCTTAATTTGAAACTCATTAAAGTGTGAGACCTTTTCTGTCGAAGCATGAGGATTAGTTCCTTACCGGCACAGTTCACGGCGACTGCGCTAGCGTGAACAATCGGACTAGTGTGAAAAACACCGAGCTAAAACATGGCATTTTGTAATGTGGGATATTTTCACCCTGATTGAGAAGGTTGGGGGGAATGCCCCAGGGGCACCATAAAACCGAGAGAAGCCAGTTACTCAGAGAAAACAAGGTTCTCAAGGGATGAAACGAGTAGGAACACGTGTCGCCACGTGGAACCAACACTGGTTATAAAATCAGATCACAGTCTGATCAGACAGAACGTGTTGACCGTTGAAATGAGTGGGCGTTGGTGTGATCCAGTGTGAATGAGGACGTGAAACTGACTGCTTCAAGACGACGACTAGACTACAACATTCGTCAAAGTCCACCCAACTCAGTTGCGGGAAACCACACATGCAGTGACCAGAGTCATCCATGCGGAGATGTTGAAGTGAAGACGGAGAACTCCATAGTGTGAATGCGCCAGGATTCAATATATTGGTGTCTGAACGATGTGTTGCTTGAATGCTGTTGAATAGGAGACGGGCTGGAAATATTTTGTAAGTGCTTAAATGTTAATAAACAATTATGTATCATGGAGACGGTGTCTACTCGTCGCATCTATGTCATAAAAGAGTGTCAGTCATATCATCCAATTGACTACACCCCCTAGACAACAGCCAAGGACCCAGCAGACAATTATTGCACATAATAAGGGCAATAAATACGGCTGTAAATGACAGCAGGCACAGGTATTTCGCATGAGAGCCCAACATTCTAGTCTTTCAACCATCCTTTCCCAGAAATGTGATTGTGACTTTTATTAAACCTCCGAGAAAAAAAAACACGTAATCACAATATTTCGTATATGAAACATTCTTGACATGATAACAAACACGTATTGCAAATAAAATGGTTTGCCCACTTACAGAATACCGTGTTATGGCAAACCAAACAAAGCACGTAACAATGGAATTGAGGGACACAGATCCGGAGGCAGAGCAAGCACACTGTATAAAATACAAGTTCAGAAAGCAATGGCAACTTTTTTCTTCTTCTTGTATCCTCTCAATGTCAGAAGGTTGTCGCACAGTGTTTTCTATTTTTGTGTTGCGCTTTTCGGGCTGCTTGGACGATGCATTTATTCATTATTTTTAAACAGTTAATGTGCTAGTCATCCCTTTGTGTGATGCAATTTTTAATTAAATGTGAAGCCCCGACATGGCTCTTGCCAGGGGCTGCAATATAGCCCGTCATAAATATGGTCTAATGGCTGAACGCGGTTTCATGGACCTCTCCATGGGTGATCCTCATCCACTTTGTGACACTTTGTGTCATCGGGTGTTTATCGCTTGTGTGATGTCCTAGTGGGGTAAACTTTACTACTATTAATTTTTACAGGTTTTGTATCTCTCCTTGCTCCGATTTGTTTTGTTGTAAAACATCCTACCTGTAGTTTAGTTTGGTTGCATCCTCACTATTTGGCTGAACCAATTCATTTTTGTTAATAAAATCAGACACGGTCTTATTCCAATTTTCTCGGTAATGCTGGTAATCATAACCCTGTGTGTTGTAGTTGTTGTTAGTACTCATTGCACGGGTAGTTATTTTCTGTTTTGGTGCTTTATTTTAGTGCCCTTACACTGCACAGTAAAACCACAACAGTCAACAGATGCTGGGGTTGGTTCTGCAACGGTATGTACAGAATTACCAACTAAACCAATGTTTCCTAACATCTGGCCCTAAGCCCCCAAAAAAGTGGGGGGGGGGGGGGCATTTGATTGTTGGGGGAGGGGGATTCGAAAATAAACTAGTTTAAGTTACATGAGGTGGGGGATGGGGATGAGAATTTTAGAAAGGCTTAGGTGGGACATGGCACACAAAAGGTTGAGAAACACTGAACTAAACCGTAAGTAAACAATGGTAAAGGATCTTTTCTAGCCATTGAAGCAGCCAACATATCCTGCTAGCCTCAAATCCACTTGATGGGTAATCTGGTCAACAACACGCCGGTCCCTTTTACTTCCCAGTACACTATCTTGTATTGTAACAACTAAAATCGCTCATATGGGATGTTTTTTGTGCACAATAAGTTTATTCTTGCAAAGTTGTTTTGTTTTGTAGTCAATGCCCTACTGCGTTGGTAGTCATGTCTGTTCACAAGGGGCATTTGACTAACCCTTAAAAAGTAAAGGACCCTTCTCCACGCCCTAATACTTACTGGGCATATAGGGTTGGACCTAAATTGTATAGACCAATCGGCACTTGATATTTGATGTAGACAGTATCAAGCCGCCCGCCTTTTTTTCCTATCACTTGTACTTAGTACCCACTCAAGGCTGTGTCGACCTGGGAGCCAAAATAATGTTTGAAAAAAAGTCTGGCTCTGCCGGGTCCCGAACCTACTGCGTGCACATATATATATATATATATATATATATATATATATATATATATATATATATGTGTGTGTGTGTGTGTGTGTGTGTGTGTGTAAGTGTGTGTGTGTGTGTTGGCTAGAAATTATGACAGAATAGAACATCCAAGAAAGACAATGGAATACCGAACGAATCATGAATCGATAAATTAGTAATTCGTTAAAGGAATGAGTACATACAAAAGGTTACTTTCCTAACTCTCTTATTGTACATCGATGTATTTAACTGGAAACATACAAACTGGTACAACATACTGTAACATTGTCCTATATGTCTAGCATCTTAATGCATTCACAGCCAAAATTATGATTTTATTTCATATTATGCGGTTATTACAGACAGATCAAGACTTGCATCTTCAATATTTGAAATCAGAATCAGTAAGGAACATGTAACTGCATATTTTTTTTATTGTATATGACTGACTTAAATAATTAACAACACCGGAGATTGTTCACTATAAATTATAAAGTGCGTATTTTAGCAAAGTGCGTATCAAACTCAAGTACTGCGGTGGTAGTAACGAAGTCGGGCCCAGCTAGACACTAGCTGACTTTTCACTGCGGACATTGCGTTTTCACTCGTGAGCAGAAAAGCATTGCTTCAATGGGTCGCACGCCTCACTCTCTCATGGGACAAAGGTTGAGGCTGTGGGCTAGGTGGTGTGTGTTAGGGCCAGTTCTAGATATCGCTTCGATCACCGGGGATAGGACCGGCACGACACCCCTGTCACGTAGACCAGCCCGAGCAAGCATGAATGAAAAGTCAGCTGGTGTGTAGCTGTGTATGGCTTCGTTAGAACCAGTTCTGCAACAAGACCCAAGTCCAGAATGGTCGAACACCTAGTAAGTTTTTCCAAATTTTACAACCGATGAACACTACGCAAAGGAAGAAGAAAAAGAAGAAGAAGGTGAAGAAGAAGAAGAAGACGAAGAAGACGAAGAGGAAGAAGAAGAAGAAGAAGAAGAAGAAGAAGAAGAAGACGAAGAAGAAGAAGAAGAAGAAGAAGAAGAAGAAGAAGAAGAAGAAGAAGAAGAAGAAGAAGAAGAACAACAACAACAACAACAACAACAACAACAACAACAAGAAGAACAAGAGGAACAAGAGGAACAAGAGGAACAAGAAGAAGAAGAAGAAGAAGAAGAAGAAGAAGAAGAAGAAGAAGAAGAAGAAGAAGAAGAAGAAGAAGAAGAAGGGGGAGGGGGAGGAGGAGGAGACTTTGGCAATGCAGAGATTATGTAAAAAAAAAATGTTAAACAGCATGAGCGACCAGCCGTTCATCTGCAAAAATTTGAAGTAAAGATTGTGAGAACATACACCTTTCCTGTGGAGGTAAATAGTTGACTATCCTGCAATCACTAATAAAGAACATTTAAGCTTCAACACGAGAATGATACAAGAAGGTTCTAAGAGTATCACTATCACGCACCGAGAAGAAAAATAAGAGATATTTTTCGAGATGTAAATATCCAGAGGGACAAGCTCATTAATGAAATATGTTTCTTGGAAAATGAAATACCTCGGCTCATAAAACATAATAATGGTTTAGACCATGGAGTTTTCCTGGTGGTATGCAACAGTACACAGTACCGGCAGAATTTCTTTCAGCGCTTATATAATAGACACTTTGTATTGAGCACCGTGACATGTTTAGACAAGCTAAGGTGAGTACCGGCATATCGTTTTGTAAGGTGAAAGAAACTTTGGTTTTGAGAGAACAGTGATGGAGAGATGGTATCTGGAAGAAGAGGCAGAGGCAGACCAGCACGGCAGTGGATTCAGGAGAACAAGAACACCTGGGGAAATTAGCAGTGGATTTCTAGTGTGCCATGATGATTGCGAATTCTACAAAGAACCTACCTCTACATGATACTGAGATAACAGAACAGCCCGCTTTATTATTGTATTTCTTTCTGCATTGTCTGTCGTAGATACCACTTTTTATAAACTGCATTAGGAAATAATCACACATTTGTATGAAATGTCAACTAGTATTGCTTTTCGTTTTGATATAAGCTTGAACAATTGGGTCAGTGAAGAAGACAACTTTGGGTGACTGATCTTTCTGCTTTGTGTCGGATTTTGCATCACTGTCACTTTCTTTTGGTGATCTGTCACATTTTTCTCCTGTTGACGTTTGCGTGCTGCCTACCTCTGAACATTCTACGTCTGCTATTTTGGCGGGCTCGTTGGAGATGCCTGTGTTTGATGATTTAATGGAAGATTTTAACACGTTGGTTTCTCCCTGCGATTCAACATCACTGCTTTCGCTTGTTGCCAATGTAGCAGTCTTTGAATCTGGCTGTGTTTTTGAAGAATCAAAATCATTTGTGACTTCGCTCATATTAATAATAGCGTCTTTGCAATCTTTCGGTTCACATGGTGTCAATAAACTAGCACTTTCTTCTGGTACGGTAGCAACACTGCAGTTTTCTTTATGGTCACTTAAAAAGGATCGTTTTCTTTCTCTTAATGTTGATTGCGTCGTTTTGTCTTCCTTGTGATGTTTTGGTTTAAGATCCTTCAATTCAAGAGCTTTAAGAAGGCGACCCCCCAGAAAACTTCCCCGTCGTTTTGAATCCTTGCTATGATACTCGTCCTCGTCCGCCTCGTCCAGACTTTGGGTAAGTCTGGTGTTAGCTAAGGTGTATGCGTCTCCAACACTGCCTGAGCGCTTCCTATCCGGAAGACCAGGAACCTTCAGGCCAAACAAATTTGACCCAGAATAGACATAGGGTAGTTTAGTCCACGAATGCCCATGATGCTTGACCTCTTCGAGGTCTACTGACCGTCTCTGTTTAATTGCCTCTTTAGCTTTGTGCTTTCTTTCTTCTGAGATTTTATGTAATTTTGTCGCAAAGTCGAATTTGAAAGATGACTTCTTTTTATGTTTGCTACCATCAGAACTGTCATCAGAGTCTCTGTCTTCATCCTCGCTGGCGCTAGTTGGAATAGGAGTTGACTCCATGACGATTTCGTTGACAAGCTTCTGATCTTCCTCCAGGTCAGCCCTGCTGCTGACGATGCTGGGGTTCTTGCCAATCTTTGTGAGGCGTTCTGCTGCCACACTTTCCATGGTACGTCTCATCACGGGGTATCTGTCCAAGACACTGTTGAAGTGCTCCACTGAGAGCGAATACAAGCAAGCGTAGGTCTCTGCTCGCACGCTGGCAACACGTCGTGCATTGGTCAGCAGGCAAATTTCTGAGGACCAAAATAAGCTGTTTGAAAACACACGTATGTAATATAATTGTATTAAAATTAGCAAAACACGGTTTACTAACCCCCCCCCCCCCCCTCCCCCCCCCCCCCCCCCCCCCCCCCCCCCCCCCCCCCCCCCCCCCCCCCCCTCCACCCCCCCCCCCCCCCCCCCCCCCCCCCCCCCATCCCGTGCAGCTTCCAGTATTCCATCTGAACAGGTATACTGTCCCCTAAAAACTGTTTTGAAAGGCAAGTAGTTTGGAGTCTACTGAAATAGGATGTGCTGGTCGAAAGTTGAATATACCGCAGCCTAGCTTTTAACCACAACATAATGTACCAACCATTTTGTTTTTAAGGGAGAACGAGGAAGAAGAATAATATTAGCATGTCTTTGCAAACCAATCCTGCGTTGACTGAATGGTGAGTGGCGTTTTTAGGCAATTTTACGTTCAGTAATTCGCCAGTGTTTGCTGAATGATATGCTCTAATACCACACTGTCAAAGTTACCGCAAAGCGGTCTGATACACTGTCACCTACAGATTACTTCGAACGCCGGTATGTCGAAATTGTGAAGTGCGTTCCCACCCAAGCCAGATATGTCGGAAAATACATGAATTAAATCATGTATCGTACTGTCTTGTTCCCATGTTTGTCTTCTTCTTCTCCTTCAGCATTCGGATCCATTGAGGGTCACGGCTTCAGGTATTACTCCAGTCCAATTACCTCTGTGATTGGCTCTCTTTTTCCACTTAGTGATTCCAAGTAAGTGTCCATGCTTAGCAATTTGATGCGTAACCACTTTCAAGTAAAAAAATATATTAAAAAATGGAAAACGTTATTCTGCTTTATTTAAGAACCGTGATAACTCATTTGTGGCTTAGAAACATTAGGAATTAAAGGCTAAACATTTTTGGTGCAAGAAAACCAGCGTACAAAAATAGAGAATTTAAAAACATTATTGTAAAGCCAGTGTGTTGTTTACCTCCAAAATATGAACCGTCCGAAAGACTTGTGGCCACTTCGCCATCTGAAGTGACTATGTCCACAATACCCTCTTGTATGAAATACATCTTGGTCCCCATGGTACCTTCTCTTATAATGTAGTCACCGGGCTGAAATACCTGGAACAGATCCCAGAAATATCACTTAGCGGTAAACTATTACATTATTTAATATATAAATAAATGTGACTTTACCACAGTTTCCTCAGGGTACAAAAAGGATCAAGAAGAACGAATAAACTGCAAAAAAACAACAAAAAAAAACTGCCACCAATTACTGCCTTTGTTATACGCATTTTGCGGTTTAGGCGGAAAAAAAGGGGAGGGGGGATGCTTTGAGCCTGAGGATTTACGGCCTCATGGCTAGTGCTGTCGCCCCGACTGTGCAGGTAAGGATTTACGGCCTCATGGCTAGTGCTGTCGCCCCGACTGTGCAGGTGAGGATTTATTTTGCCCCCGACAGAAAAGAATCCCCAGCCTTACTGAGGATTCGAACCAACCCTGGTCTCCCGCGGAAAAGCCCAGCGTTCTAACCGTTTGGCCAGTCTCTCCTCAACGAATGAACGAACGAACTTTATTTTCAAAGGGTTAAGATTTGGAAACGCAGGCCCAACTAACATTCTGTTCTTACAGTCCACTCCCTGCATACAGTTATTCATTCGTGCATCATTGCATAAGTAATAATTTAAAAAAAAAATGTTTACAACATCTAAGTCTTAATTGCAAACGCTGGATTGTGCTCTAATTATACTTACATTTATGAACTTTTGAAAAAGTGTAGTAGTAAACATAATCATGTTATAAGTCTAAAAGGCTGCATCAAATGAGACGAGATGAGACAATTTTCTCAATGCTCGAACTGTGAAAGCTCAGATGGCGATAGTACACTCAGAGGACAGCCTTTACGATGACATACAGACTGGTAGAAGATATCGAGGCTGGCTTCTACTACGACACAAAGATGTGTGCAAGCGGAACATAAATGCTATAGGTACTGATGTGGATTCGTAGGAACAGGGTGCTATAGATCGTGCAACAGGGAAGAGGGACAGTCGGGGAAAATTAGTGACAAATCAGAACGTGGCTATAGATAGGTTCCGAGCTGAGCGTCTGCCGAGAAGCACGTTAAATATAAGGGAACTTATCACGAACTGGCCCGCATGACGAGAGTTCCTTCCCCTCTCATTCATGCCGCGGCTGGGTGTTACGAGAGTGCTTCTTCGGCGTTTGCTCCCCCTATATAATGTTTGTGGTTGTGTTGTTATAAGTCTCTTGAAGGCGCCACATGCGCCTTTGTACAAGAAATAAGTACTGCGGGTGGAATCTCAGAAGGCGAGACTGCTCGTTGGTATCGAAACTGCTAACAGTCTTATTATTTAACCAGCACCCTAATGCTAACGCGTTATCTGGGCTGATGATCGAATCCGTTAATCAGCTGCATCCATATGGTATACAGAAATAGAAACTATGTTGTACTGGTGAAAAGAAGGAGGAAGAGAATCAAGAGGATGAGTAGAAGGTGGTGGAGGAGGAGGTGGAGGAGGAGGAAAAAAAAAAAAAGAAGAAGAAGAGGAAGAAGAAGAAGAAGAAGAAAAAGAAGAAGAAGAAGTGTAGTAAGAGGAGGAGAAAATTAAGTGGAACCACATGGGAAGCCGATAGGAAAATACTCAATAAAGTATAGAAGCAGAGCATACTTCCACACTTGGAATATGGGTCAACTGCATGGTTTTCAGCATCTAGTACGACATTAAAGGAGTTAGACAAAGTGCAAAATCAAGCGCTCAGAGTCATCACTGGAGGGATGAAATCAACCCCCATATTAGAAATGGAGAAAGCTGGGAAAACACAGGCACTAAGAGAACGCAGAGGTACAAAGTTGCAAATACAAGCCTGAAAAGTTCCTCAGTATGCCAGATCACCCGATGGAAAATAGATTTAAGAACCTAGCCTTGGGACGGTTAAAAAGAAGCAGCTTTATACACCAAGCATAAAGAATATGTAAACTCCTGACCTTCTAGAAATTGGTTGCCCACTTAAAAGTATTCCGGAACAAACCCCATGGAGAGAAAAATGTAAGCTAACGGTACAAATCCAGACAAATGTGAAAGGGATATTTGACAAGAAAGAGCGAGATAGTGTGCAACGCAAAATGGCCACCCTCAGTTATATTGATGAAGAATACTCACAAGAACAATGGGTCAGAGTCTATACAGATGGGTCCGCAGAAAGTGCAGTTAGAATGGTGGCGCTGGAGTGTACATCGAATTCCCAGATGGTACTAGTGATAAGTCCAGCGTACCAACCGGGAAGTACTGCAATAACTATGATGCAGAAACCCAGGCTATCAAGATAGCTACAGAGAAACTGCTAAATACCAACCTTGGCTCACAGTATGTGGTAATGCTGACAGATGCTAAATCAGTACTTGAAGCACTCCAGTCTAGGAAACTACCAGAATTGCAAACTGCTGACACAACTCAGCCTTCAGCGAAGAGTCGTAATGCAGTGGATACCGTCTCATTGTGGAGTGCCTGGAAATGAGAAAGCTGATCAACTGGTAGGGGAAGGTGCGACAAAAGAGCAGCCGGATGTACCAGTCACATACCACCAAAAGAAAAGAATAATTAAATCGATCAGGAAACCACCAGCCCCAGTACAAGACGACTATTTTATTATGGGCAGACCAGAACAAGTCATTATCCTCCGCTTCAGAACAGGGCACAACCGATTACGTAGGCACATGTACACAAAATTCAAGATAGGTGTATCAGTCATGTGCACCTGTGGAAATGTGCCCCAGACAGCAGAGCATGTACTCCAGGACTGCACCGCTTTGGACACATTAAGGCAAACCTTTTGGCCAGAAAGTACAACAGTGGAACGTAAACTCTATGGACCACTGAATGAACTAACAACGACAGTGACATTTATACAAGAGACAAAACTGCTGATATAGACAATTAATTTCAGGCGAACGAAAGAAGAAAAAGAAGAAGAAGAAGAGGAGGAGGTGGTGGTGGAGGACAAAGTGCGCTTGTAGAGTTAACAACATACCTCAAACTTCAGCTTGCTTACAACCTCCGACACAAAGGAATGGTCAGCATTGGTAAAAAATGGAACAGAGGCAACAAGCGATCTACAGTTGTGGTTAACAACTTCCTGCAACATATAAGTTCATATGTATGGCTCAACATTTCCTGCAACACATAAATACGTTCATATATATGTTTTAATCTTTCTTGCAGCATATAAATACATTTTAAATTCTGTTTTAACTTTTCGTCTTCATCAGTCTCGCCAGTCAGACCACTACTGGACACTAATAGTTAGTTTTTGGTTTCTAACAATCTTGGTTAAGCGAGACTGTTACTTTACCGTCATTGTTTGCGTCCAACTTTCACCTCTTTATTGATTTCTCTGTCGGCGTCTGTGACATAGGCGTTGCGAACGCGCTTCGTAATGCCGGGGTAACGATTTCGATCTCAGACGATTTATCTTGCGTTGGTTTCGATATGGACACCGAGAGCTGACCGTTCAGTGAGCAATGGCAAACTACTGAAAGTAAAATGTGCCCTAATAGAGCCACAATAGCAAACAATGCTTGGTTTGGTTCTGCAACGCCATGTAAAAGAAACGCAGCTGACTTAAGAGGGGCTTTGTCTATGCTTCTGTCTATTTGTCTGTCTATTCAAGCTATCATTTTGACAATGCAAACAAATACAAGTAAAAAAAAAAAAATGAAACAAATTATAAGTGAATAATTTTTGCATTTTTTCTTCTTCTTTGCCAGCAGTATTAGAATAATGGGCTTCCATTGCTTTACAGTCTTGGTGCCGAAATGAGAAATGCCCAAGTTACCGTCTGAAGGTAGTGGGTTCATATCACGGATTGATTTTGTTATTCGGTTTCTGAGTGCAGTTTTTACGGAGATCCCCGGGGCTTGTCGGCAGCCAGTTAGCTCTTCTACAGTGATAGACGGATCTAAATTGGATAATTCGGTTAAATCGATCTTTATGTTAATCATTGAAAACAGGTTTGGTCGAAATGCTAGGTACTTTTTTTGTGTTCAGTTACACAGTTACAATGTGTGTTCATTCGCTTTAAGATTAACCGTAAGATATGGTGAGTGTACTCATCTCTCTCTCTTTCTCTCTCTCTCTCTCTCTCTCTCTCTCTCTCTCTCTCTCTCTATATATATATATATATATATATATATATATATATATATATATATAAACCTACCACTACTTCACATTTCCATCTCTCTGTATAAGTGCATGCATGTCAATGCAATCATCACTGTCTCTCTCTTTATATCTTTCTTTCTTTCTTTCTTTCTATCTATCTCTCTATGTATGTATGTATGTATGTATGTATATGTATGTGGGTGCGCGCGGGCATGATTTGCTTTCCATTGGTGTGCTTTAATTTGTACATTTAGTGATCCTGACGATTTGCCATTTTGTTTTGTCAAAGTCTAAAAGACTGTTCTTTCGTGAAATGTGAGAAGACAGTTATTGTAAGACACAACAATTGTGGTAAAACACATATTTGTAGGTTTAACTTTCGAGTCTGCATCGAGATTTTTTTTTCTCTCGAAAAATTACCCTGTATCCCAGGTTGACGCATCCTAAAATGAGTATCTGATAAAGTCCTTGAAGTAAAGGCAGCCAGTCTGGTATGACCACGTTACCCATGTGCGTGCACATCCGTTTTACAAAGCTGGTTTATTTCTTTACAGACTTGTGGTCCATTGCCTCTCAGACAGATGCACTCCGTCTTTGAAGGAATCCCCCAATCAGTCGACTCTTACGATCAGCTTGTAGGGGCAGTATTGGGTCTATTCTTGTTTCCCCCCCACAATGGGACCCCGGAATCCACACGGGAAATTCTGATGTAGAAATGCATGTTTTTCCCCTTCGTCTGTGATATTCCCCTTCTCATTTACTTCAGCTCTAAGATTAGCCCAATACATTTGATAAACGTTCTTGTTTTAACTATGAAACACATCTAAGAAGTTTGAAGTAGTGTTACAACAGCATTGATAAAGTGGCAGTATTGACACAAACATACAAAAAGTGCTTACATGTTTGAGGCATTCATTTAGCTCTGAAAGTATCGTGTCTTCATCAAACATTTTGCCTTGGTATCGATGTTCGTAGTAATCAGTTATTCTCTGGCGCAAGTTCCGCGGTAACTTCCGGTAAACCATGTACTCTTCAACTTGCTTGAACTGTCAATGGATATCAAAACACCATGTCAGACAGATTAAGTTTGCAACATAAGCTCCCGATGGGGAGATAAGATAAGGCAGATTAGTTTGGTAGATGCGCATCATTAGATACACATAATATGTATAAAGAATCAAGACTAGTCGTAATAATAGTGATATTCTGCTGTTTAATTATAACAATAGTGTCAAAAACGTTGATGTTTCATAAATGAATTGCCTAGAAGCACCAAGAGTTGGAAGGCTACTGACTTTTGCGGATGATATACTTGCATATAGGCAGGGGGGGGGGGGGGGGGGGGAAAGAGAGGGAACAAACAGCCTGGGAGACAGTAGACAAAGTGACTGAGTGGTGTACAGCCCTGTAGTCCACCCGGAAAAGGCGTCTGTTTTGTGGTGTTCTCTAGACAACAGCTCTAAAGCTAATGTCCTAAGTCTCACCATAGATGGTAGAAACGTCAACAGTGAGAGCAAAATGAAGTATCTGGGAATTACATTTGACAGGAGCCTGTCCTTTAAGGACCATGTGGAGAGTGTTGTGACAAGAGGCCAAAAAGGACTTAGTGCACTTAAGACAATGGCTGCAATTGACATAGAGCAGAGAATGCTTTTCACACTATATCAGCACCTGATCCTGTCAGTGGTTGATTATGGCCTGGGACTGCTAACCGTCTCAAAGAGTCAGATAGACAAACTAGCGCGCATATAGAACGCAGCTATGCGGGTCATTCTGGGTTGCACCAGAGTGTTGTGTATGCGATACATCCCTGGTTTGCCGACTGTTGTAGGTAGGCACATGGTGCTGCAGGCGAAGTCATATCTCACGGTAGCTGCAGACACAGACCACCCTTTGCATGAAGCTCTGGGTGCAGTTAACAGTTAGCGGCTAATAAGAGGGAGGTCATGAATGGCTCAGGCAGAAGATACAATTAGACAGGTTTCCGTCCTTGAAAACATTAGGCGAGGAGAGGAGTGGGTCAAAGTGCCACCTGAACAGTCAGACTTGTGTAGGGTCACAATCACACTGAGCCGGGAATGCAGAGACTGGCCAGCAGGTGCCACGTAAATGGAAATTTAGCAATTAATTCAAGACAATGTTCGCTCAGAGATTTGATCATTTACACAGACGGTTCAGTGTCAAGAGGTAAAAGAAGTACTTGGGGCTTCTTAGCAAAAGTTAATGGTCGACGTTTGGTGCATATGATACCACAACATCCAGCTTGAGAATGGAGGTGGAGGGATCACTGCAGCTTTCAGCTGGCTAGAGAACACACACACACACACACACACACACACACACACACACCCCCACACCCACACCCACACTCACACCCACACCCACACCCACACCCACACACCCACACACCCACACACCCACACCCACACCCACCCCACACCCACCCCCACCCCCACCACCACCCCCACCCCCCCCCCCACCCCCACCCCCACCCCCCAGCCCCACCCCCCCCACCACCACCACCACCACCACCACCACCACCACCACCACCACCACCACCACCACCACCACATCGTGATTGTAACTGACTCAGAAAGCAAGCTGAGGAAGATCAGAACATGCATGCTTCGCTGCGGAGGTGACGGGTGAGGAGTATTGTCTGGATTTTTTTCACCGGGTCTCGCCGGTGTGTTGGGAAATGAACAGGCGGACAGACTGGCTGGCTCTGCACAGCTTGGTGAAATACTGCTACATGATAGGGCAGACGTGGCTAGTGCCTTGTGGGAGAGCGGGTACACTTCGGAGGAGCAGATGGATCACCACAGTCTGGTGAGACTGATGCAGGGGGAAGTGACGAGAGGTTCTGGCAGATGCTTGAAGCTTAGAGGAAAGGCAAGACGGACGCTTCATCAGAATGCTACTGGCACCATTAGTATCGGGACTCTTCGCTGGCTGCTGAGGATGGGGACAGATCGCTTATGGAAATGCCCCAAATGCTGTGATGTCGGTTCTTGAATCAAATCAAATCAAATGAATTGTAGTGACCACCTCGACTGCGCATTCAAACCCGCTCTATTCTTACGAGACAAGGATTTGTTTTAGAATGGCACATATTCTAGGCCAAGATATATAAATTAAAGTGGCCAGTACCCGCCTTCGTTGCATTAACATTATTGAACATTCGCATAATTCTTCTGTACCCGTTGTTTTTAAGCTAGATAAAACCAGAGCTGACTATTTTAGGGATTAAATCCCGACCAACCGTGTGGCAGGGCAGAACAATTACCACTGTGTCGTTATTGGAGAGAATTTTGCTAGATCCAGTCTTTGGGTCTACAAAAAGGAAGAGGAAGAAGAAGAAGAAGAAGAAGAAGAAGAAGAAGAAGAAGAAGAAGAAGAAGAAGAAGAAGAAGAAGAAGAAGAAGAAGAAGAAGAAGAAGAAGAAGAAAAGGAAGAGGAAGAAGAAGACGGAGAAGGCGAATGACAATAAAGAATTAAAGAAATAATAAACGAAAGAATGAAAGAAATAGGAATTAAAGACAGAAAGAGTAAAAGAATGACAAAATGGCAGAAAAATTAAAGAGAGCATAAAAATGAAAGTTAGAGTGAGAGAAAGACAGAGGCGAGAATGAACGAAAGATAGAATAAAAGAAAGAATGACAAAACAAAACTGAAGACAAATAAAATAGAAGAACGAGAATAATATTCCAGATCAAACCTAACTGACATTAAAATGACATAAAACCAGTATTAATAATTCACAGACTGAGCAAAGTGAAGAGACAATATCAGGTAGACCAGCGCTTCTTTAACTGTGGATAGCGACCCTTCTTTGGGTCGTAGGACCCTTTTACGTGGGTCGCCAAAAGACCATCGGAAAGCACATATTTATTGAGGTTATGAAGTAGTAACAAAAATAATTCTATGAGGGTCGCCTCAATACGAGGAAATGTACGAAAGGGTTGCCACGACATGAAGAATTGTGAAAAAGGGTCGCAGCATTAGGAAGTTTAGGAACCACTGAATAGACAGACTGTCTCGTCAGATACTTGTCTCGGTAAAGGGGTAAATGTCAAATGTCAGCCCTGGCCTTAAGTTCCTTTCTCTCTGACTGCATCAATGAACCATTTCGGTGCAATCAGACCCCAGAAAATTGGATTTTCTCTCTTGGTGGTTGAGCCCAAAAGCATCAGAAAAAAGACTAGAGGGATTATTACTATTGGTTATACAAAATAGGGTTTTCTTTGTCGAGGTGGTCAGACCGTTTATCTCGCGCTTCTGAAGGTCATGGGTTTGTTCAAAAGACGTGTGGTTGAATTCACGAGTGCAGTTTTTACGGAGACCCCGAGGGATCATTACTGAAACTGCGGGGTTCGTGCTTTATGTGATCTTATCTGCAGGCCGCTAACCGTTCTTCACAGAGAAATCAAGATGCATTGGATAAAACCGGTCCAATAAAGTCGATCCTCTGTCTTTAACTTTCAACTTTTAGCTTCAATTTAAACAGCCGATGTATGTTTTAAGCTAACGGTGCTTGAAACACGACGTAATACATGAAGTTAATTACGTTGCGCAATAAATTAGTTTTAAAATGTTTACAGTCATTAAACATACACTCTACACATACAAACACACACACACACTCACAAAGACACACACAGTATACATACATACATATATGAAAACTTTTAATTAGAACTTATATTTTGAATGTTGAATATAGAATCGACATCACAGCACTCAAGGCACTCCTATAAGCGCAGCAGCAAGCGAAGAGATTAAATTCCAACGGCACCAGTAACTGTCTGATTGTATATTAGTCTTGCCGTCCCCTTGAGTGATTAGAGTCGGCCAGATCACGTGGTAACTCCTCACAGCGCCATTCTTCTTAGACCGTAATAAAATATTTGTGTCTTGGCACTGTTCACTCGCTCCCAAAGGGACCTCACAATATCTAGCTTGTCGTACATCAATTAACCACCAACTGGTGCAGAACCAGCCAGTCTATCTGTCTGTTCGTTTACCAGCACAATATTTTTAGAACTTCTTAAAATCGTCAAGGGACTGTTTATCCCTCTCACATTATCTGGGACTGGGGGTACTAAAATAATTAAAATTATTTATGTTACTTTTACACATTCACAATAACCACAAATGCTAAAATATACACACTTTGACGATGGAGCAGAAAGATAAAGAAGAAGTGTCTCTTTGATACCAGTCACAACTCACCTTCTCATTATACAGCCTCCTAGAAGTGTCAAAAGACTGTATAAGTGTTGTGGTGTGAGCTAGGAAGAGAGCGTAGCAAGTGGCACCACTAAGCATGCTGAGGATCGTGAGCCAGGTGTCCGTCATGTTCTGAGGCGGGAACCTGCCGTAGCCTATACACAGCATGTGCGACAGAGCCTTAAACAGAGCGAAAGTGTACTGCTCCGTCCAGTGCGCTTTCTGTGAACAAGGTAAAATATAACAGTCTGTCAACTTGGTATATACCGCTGCGAGTGTGTAATATATTAGTATGGGAATGTAATACGTTGCGGTCACACATTATGTGCTCTTGCAAAGTGAACAATAACACTACACGCTCCGAATCCTCGATAACGTTTATTTTGTGTCGAGGGCAAAATAAAATGCTAACCTGCACAGTTCACTGCGACTGAATTAGCGATTCTAAGCTAAATACTCAGGCTTAATGACCCTCTTGTCTACATCGCAGAACAGTATATACAGGCAGTAATGGCAATTTGCAATTTGTTCTGTGCTAATTTAACAGAAAGAATAACATTGCAAGCAGCCATTTTTCTAACGAGTATAAGTAGTCCAAAAGGGGGCGTTCATATATTATTTGGCCTCTCCCCAGACTTTTATATAAAAACAAAAGAAGGTCCTGGAGGTGGTACAGGTTCCTCCAGCTGTGTTTTCAGAATGGCAGCATGTCGTGTTGCTATTAAGTGGTTTTATAGATCAGGGGTTGGCTTGTGACGGATTATTAGGATGTGACGGCATATGGTGTTAGTGGCTGGCGGGGAGAAGGGAACCGGTGATTTTATAGTAGAATGAAGAAAGTTATAGGGTGACTGATCTGCTTCGTTAAAGGAATAAAATGTATCAAGTTATGTATTAAAATATTTTTATTTCTTCTTCTTCACTTCCTCTTTTACCTCTACTGCTGCCGATGGATATATAAGGTCCTGCTTCGTGCTCTTCTGACTGCCCCAACCATAAGACACATCATGATGCTGTAGAGTTTCTCTGATGGTATATCTCCATCTTGGTTTTGGTCTACCTCTTGCTGTCTTGAAAATAAAGTTCGTTCGTTTGTTCGTTCCTCTTTTGGTAAATGCCTTGTATGGTTTAGCATCAGAAGGCATTCTCTTCAAGTGAGCAAACCATTTGATTTGCTGTCTTTGTATGTAATTTAGAATTGGTTCTGTACCGATTTTTATCTCGTATGACCTCATTCCTGGTTTTAATCTCTGCTGGTCACTCCTACAGCCTTTCTCAGACACCTCATTTCCATGGTTACTAATTTTCTTACGTTTTTGTTGTGAGTGACCGCGTCTGGCACTGGTAGCATAGGATGGGGAAAATATGCTTTGTATGAGAAGTCTCTTTGTGCTGATTGGGATTGCCTTATTCTATAAGGGGAAAAAGGAAAGGGGGGGGGGGGGGGAGCTAGCTGTCCCAATACTTGGCCAGCTTTACTGCATCGAATGTCAATTTCTTTGTCTAATTTACCATCTACGGTGAATGTTGTTACAAGATATTTAAACTGAGACTCCTGTTTAATATATGTATGCTCTAATGCTATGTTTAAATCCTGCTTCTTTCTTCCTGTTGAAATTACTTCTGTCTTTTCGATATTGATTCTCATATTATTTGATTTACATTCTTCATTCATGGATGTGAGTAGCTGTTGCAATTCATGGCTGTATCTGCCATCAAGGACTGGTCATCAGCAACAAGTAAATCGTTGATGTTAATATTATTTTCATTCCTGGACCTGGCATCGTTGCTTATACTTTCAATGTAGGTGATAAACAAGAGTGGGGATAAGGCACACCCCTGTCTTACTCCAGATGTGATTTTAAATTGTTAAGATGTTCTAAAAGTATCCCAACTTAAAGTCATCAGTGCAGTTATCTAATTTGTGGTTTCGGGTGGCCATCCAAGCAGTCATATCACCTGCTTGTTTTATTTCAATGGATATGACAAGTTCTTCACGGCGACCCAGCATTAGTGTCAGATATTTTCACTGTTCTTCTCAAAACAACAGTAAATCAGCAACTATCTCGGCACATATATTTCTTACAGAAGTAGCGTTTCCTCACCGTGACATCCTGACAGTTTCCTGGACAAATCATCTATAATGACCGGTATGTCTTAAAAGACCTCGTGACCAGATGGCCGGCCATGTTAATAGCTTGTTTTGTTTTACTAGTCATGTCAGGTTTCTTCAGTGCAGCTCCACTATCATTGATACACCTTAAGTAATTCGATGTGTTTCCCTGTTGTGACATCTTAAGTCACTAGATGCTTTTTGGTCTTACTGTACAACTGCAAAAACTTGTCAACTTCATCTGGTTAAGCTTCCTACTATCGCGCTATTAGTCTGTCTCGCTGTGTCATAAGTGACCGAGTTTTTTTTTTTTTTTTTTCACAAATCAAAAAAGGCTAGTTCAAAAGTCAGTCGGCCCATCTAACCAACAATTCGCCCCTTCGACTCTCTGTCCGACTGACTATTTCCCTGACCGACGGCATGGTTGTAATATAAGTGAGTTAGTCTTCCTGTACCCATTCCTGTACTCCATCTTCAGCAGCAATCGAAGAGTTAAAATTCCGATGGTACCAGCAACTGCCTGATTGTATATACGTCTTGTCATAATTTTCTATAAGGTGACTATCCTCCTATTACCCACTTGATGACTTGAACAGGATAAAGAGGTAAGGGTTGAGGGGGGAGGGAGGGTGGACATAATTATACGTACATTGACTGAAATGCTGTATTTTATATAAAATTTTGTTATAATCAGTTTGAATGAAAATAATGCTAAAAAATATAATTTCGACTGATGTCAGTTTGACTTACGACCTAGTAGTCTGAATGGAACTCTGTCGTAAGGTGAGCGACATTATAAATAATGAATAAAGTACCTAAGCGTTTTATATTATCGGTAACAAATTGTTTTCAATCATTGCAAAAATATATTACCCGGGGAAATGTCAGAATCGTTCATTTAAAGAAAAGAAGGAGTTTCATGTCAAGGGCAGATTGCAGGCATCAATCTGAGCAGTTGGAGTTGGGAGAGCGCATGCAAGCATGATAAATTACTGCTTGTCGTTTAGAAGTTGATTAATGTTTTAGAAATATTGATGACTGATTATTTTGTATTGTGTTCAGCTTTTTCTTTCTTTCTTTCTTTCTTTCTTTCTTTCTTTCTTTCTTTCTTTCTTTCTTTCTTTCTTTCTTTCTTTCTTTCTTTCTTTCTTTCTTTCTTTCTTTCTTTCTTTCTTTCTTTCTTTCTTTCTTTCTTTCTTTCTTTCTTTCTTTCTTTCTTTCTTTCTTTCTTTCTTTCTTTCTTTCTTTCTTTCTTTCTTTCTTTCTTTCTTTCTTTTCTTTTTCTTTCTTTCTTTTCTTTCTTTCTTTCTTTCTTTCTTTCTTTCTTTCTTTCTTTCTTTCTTTCTTTCTTTCTTTCTTTCTTTCTTTCTTTCTTTCTTTCTTTCTTTCTTTCTTTCTTTCTTTCTTTCTTTCTTTCTTTCTTTCTTTCTTTCTTTCTTTCTTTCTTTCTTTCTCTCTCTCGCGCTCTCTCTCTCGTTTGCCTTCCGTTTCCTCAGTTTTGTGAGTGTCTTAATTGCATTTTTAAATAATGAGCAAATACTGCGTAATTGACTGGCCAACATTTGACCCTGTATCTTGCAGGTGTATTAAACATAACTTACATTCAGCATATAATGAAGCGCAAGAACAAATGTTCATCTGAAACACAGATCACAATATCAATTTCTGTGCTGTACATCACACCACGAAGTCTTAGATAGGGTATTCCATAAACCCCTCTACAGCAGTGGCTCTCAACCTCCCGAATGTCCCGACCCTTTAATAAAGTTCCTCATGTTGTGGTGACCGCACACCATACAATTATTTTCGTCGCAACTCTATAACTTCAATGAATATGTCTTTTCAGATAGTCTTATGTGACCCCCGTGAAAGGGAGGTTGGAATTTAAAAAAAACCAAAAAGGGTCGCGACCCACAGGCTGAGAATGTTGAACGTTGAATTAGGGAATCGACATCATAGCATTCGGGACATTCTCATAAGCGCTCCGTCCCCATCTTCAGCAGCAAGCTAAGAGTTAAAATTCCGATGGTACCAGCAACTGTCTGATTGTATATACGTCAAGCGTCGTTCAGATCCCCTTGTAATTCTTCTCAGTGCCATTCTCCTCAGACCGTAATGATCTATCTGGGCTTCGGCACTGTTCACTCGCTCCCAATGGACCCTCAGAACATCCAGCTTGTCATACCACCAAGTGGTGCAGAACCGGACAGTCTATCTGCCTGCTCATTTCCCAACACATCGACATAACCTGGAGAAATTATCCAAAGGATGCTAACCTTTGAAGTGATGCTTGCCACTCTGCACAGAGCATGCCAGTCTCCACCTTTCTCAACACTCTCTGTGAGTCCACAGGCAGAGAATCGCTGCTTTTCGGCAATGATCTCTAGACTGTTACAGCCCCCGACCCCCCACCGCCACACACCCCCACACACAATGCCCTCGTACGTGACTGGCGAGACTATCCCCCCCCCCCCCCATGTAATTAAAGAGAGGGGGGACAAATAAACACCCCAAACACTGTTAATAAAAACTTGGAAAAAAAGTTTCACATAAATGAAAGCATCAAATAACAAAAGAAACAATGATCAACAACGTTTAGTTTAGTGTCCAGATATCAGTGTGATGGCTGACACTATTTTGTCTTAATACCTGCTATTTTATCGGCGTCTGTGGCTAAGGCATAACGAACGCCCTTCGTAATGCTAGGGTGCCGAGTTCTATACCAGCTGCAGGCCATGTGCCTTGCGTTGGTTTTGACAGTGGTATCGAGAAGCCGACCGCCCAGAAAGCAATGGCAAACTACTGGACGTAAATTTGCCCAGAAAAAAATCACTATAGCATAAAAGTGCTGGGGTTGGTTCTGCGACGTCCTGTAAAGGATACGCAACTAACTTTAACCTGCTATTTTTCGCTCTGAAGATGAAAGGTCACAAGGGAGATCCCATTCCACATTAAGCTGAAAAGGCTTTTTTTGTTTTTGTTTTTAAAAACTGTTTTAAAGGATTACAAATATTCATTTAGAATTCAACTGTAAACATGTTAGTATAACATATTATTACAAGTACAGATGCACTCAATTTGAAAATTGCTTGATGGCCCTTTGAAACCT